CATCCTTGCCTCCAATGCTCAAAGCATCATGTATCTTTAAAGGAGATGTACCCTCTTTAATCAGCAGACTTCCACACTGGTTGTGTAGCTCTTTCCTCAACCCCCTTCAGCCATTAAACTTGTTTGGATAGAATCTTTGGGGCATTCTAGCTGCCCACAGGCATGGTAACTGCAGGTAGAGAGCCAGTTTTGACAGACTATCTGCTGTACCTCCATGACATCATATTTAAATCTCCCATGCTCAGAAAACTTAGTTTGTGTTATCCTGCAGTGCAGTGTGAAACTTCTAAATGGATTTAATAGCAAAAATGAAGTATTGCTAATTAGTTCCAGGATCAAACTTTTTGAAACATTTAAAGGTTTGGATTTGATTTTCTTCAAAGAACAGGAAATGGTTCAGTCTGTTTCTTATCTACTCCTAACTAATCCAGCCAGTCCTAATTAATTTTAATTTGTTTCTATGTATACTTTTGCATGAAAAAGCATAAAATTAATGAGAAAAATTACATTTTCAAGCTAAGGTCATTATGTTATATAAAAATGTCCTGAGAGCAACCATTACCAAAAATGTTATATAAATGCTATTACCTTGTTATTTGCTAGACAGTTTTAAAAAAAATCAAGTTAACACTGTTGATTATCTCCAACCCTTTAAAATAGAAAATTTAAAATAGAACATTTAAACCATTCGACATGACTGGAAAGGAAAAAAAGGAGGCCAGACTATGTGTGACGACTAGAGAGAAAAGGACCAGGAAGAATTCCAGTCAGACAGAAATTTCCAATCCTTATTATGTCCTCAGTGTGGAAACTGCAGAAGATATCTCTGATGATCCAGCTCTTTGGAATAGAGAGACATGCAATACGCACATGTGGATGACTAGTCAATCCAACCTATAAGAAAAAATCAATCATGTCCACAAAGAAATATAGACAAGATTTGTTGGAGATTCTATATCAAGAAGAAAGGGAAAACATTTTGCAAAAGTTGCAGACAACAGAACAATGTGCTGTCTTCCTGGAGCCAAGGCATAAGGCATGACTAAGACTGGACAGTTTTTTAAAGGTGGGCGGTGTGGGGGGAAGACAAGAATCTGCTGGTGATGGTGAATAGGGATACTGCTTCACAGGATATCTCACAGATTATAGATGAGTTCAGGGAACTTGGAAAGGTGCTGAAGGAGAACACTCAAGTGACCTTCCTCGAGATAATTGCTGTCCTGTGAGTGAAAGAAGACAGAAAATTCTGAAAGTGAACATTTGGTGAGGTAACCAGTGTTATGTGGAGGATTTTGGTTTTGTGAAACATTAGTCCACCTTCTGTGGGAACAGAAAAGCTTGAATGGTTTCCATCTCTGTAGCAAGTAATCCAATCTTCATGGAGAAAAGCAAGGTAGACTAGTTAGAAAGACATAAAGTTAACAACAAAAGGGGAAGAATGAAAAAAGAGTGGGCAAAATAGAAAGGGAATAGCATTCTATACCAAAAATGGCATTTCCTGTTTCCAAATTCCTGACAACTTGGAAACAGATGATGTTGAATGCTTATGGAACGATGTTTTGACAGATACAGAACAAGATGGAGCGTTAGTTGATGTCTGCTACACAGCACTAAATCATACAAGAGAATAAGCACCTACCTAGTATGTAGATTAAAAAAATATAAATTTCCTAACTCAAAAAGTGTTGTATCCCACTAAGAGGAATTTTATACTAGATCTGATCTTGACAGATAAAGAGGACACAAAACTAAAAATTAGTGGCAGCTTAGGTACCAGTGATTTGATTTCTCCTGTATCGTGCTAACAGAATATAGTCAAAACCATGATATATATGGTTGGTGCTTTAAAATGACCAATTTCACAAAGCTGAAAATAATTCTAAGCTAATCAATTGACAGAAGGGATATTACAAAAATGTGAATGACAATTGGGAATTTTCTCAGAACATGTTACTAGAGGCCTAAACGGACAAGATCCAATAACTGAGAAAGAAAGACAAACTGGTTAAAAAAACAAAACAAAACCTGGCTAACAGGGGAAGTGAAAGAAGCTAATTTTTTTTAATGGAAGAAAGAAGTTGATGGTAATGAATATAAATCAGAAGCTAGGAATAGTAGAAAGTTGACAATGGAAGCAAAATGACCCAAAGAGAAATCTATGGCCAGCAGAGTTAAGAACCATGGGAATGCTACTGTTTCATTACTAAATGAAATCATAGAACTGTCAGTAATAATGCAGAAAACAAAGAAAGTGTTCAGTAAATATTTCTGTTCTGTAATTGAGAAAAGTCAGATGATACGTTCATATATATTAAGGATGGAATACTTTCCTTTTCAACAGTTGCTAAAGAGGATGATTCACAGCACTCACTGATGAGAGACATTTTAAAATCAGTAGATCTAAATATCTTGCATCTGAGAATGTTAAAAGAACTACCCACAAAATGATGTGGACAATCAGTGCTGCTTTTCAATAAGTTTTGGAACACTGGGGAAGTTCTAGAGGACTGGGGAAAAAACCTAATTTGTGCCAATATTTAAAAAGTAAAAGTGGAAGAAGCTATATAATTATCAGCCTGACGCAGGTCCCAGGCAAAAATATGTGAATGACAGTTACAGGGCTCAATAAGGAATGAAAAGAAGATAATATTATCAATGTCAATCAACACAGATTTATGGAAAACAGGCCTTGTCATATTGATTTTTTTTCATAAGGGTACAAATTTAGCTGATAAATTTAATACTGTTGATATTATAAACTTAGACTTTTGTAAGGCATTTGATTTGTTAGCATGATATTTTGATGAAGAAAACAAAATGACACAAAGGTAAGAGTGACTCATTAAATTGAGTAACTAGCAGCTGACTATTAAATCTCCAAATGTAACTGTTAATAGCAAATCATCATTGACTGTTTCTAGTAGGTACCACAGGGATCAGTTCTTGTCCCTATTTGATAAAATTTGTATCAATTATCTGGAAAAAAAATTAAATCGTTACTGATAAAAGGCTTGATGGAGTGGTAAATACTAAAGATGACAGGTCACTGTTACAGAGCGATCTGGATGCGGGGTGCAAACAAACAATACACATTTTAATGCTCAAATGTAACATCATATTTCTTGAAACAAAAAATGACAGCCATATTATTGGCAAGGGCAGTCTACACTGGGAAATAGTGCCAGAAAAGGATTTCAGGATCCACATGAATCATCAGCTGAACATGAGCTGTGGCCACAAAAACTAATTTTATCCTTACGTGCATAAATAAAGGAATATCAAGTAGAGGGAGAGAGGTTAGATTACCACTGTACTTGGCACAGATGAAATGCTACTGGAATACTGTGTCCACAGTTTTAGTGCCCACAATTCAAGAAATATGTTGATAAATTGGAAATTCGCAGACTTTTGATGGTAGTGATGATCCCTTCTGACTGTAGTTTGACCTCCTGCACATTGCAGGCCACTGAACCTTGTCTGACAACTCCTGTAAATAGACCCTTAACCTCTGGTTAAGTAAGTGAAGACCTCACATCATGACTTAAAGACATTTAAATCTTCAAGTAACCCCTGGCTCATGCTGCAGAAAAAGGTGAAAAATATAGTTCAAACAAGCGTCACAAGAATAATTAGCAAGTGATGGAAAGCACATCTTTCAGTGATAGTTTTAAAGAGTTCAATCTGTCTAGTTTAACAAAAAGAAGATGAAGGGGTGAGATGGACACTCTCTGTAAGGATCTATTTGTGGGATATAAATTTGATAATAGAGGGCTCTTCAATCTAACAGACAAAAGTATAACAAGCTCCAAAGTCTGCAAGCAGAAGCTAGACAAATGCAGACAAGAATTAAGGTGCACATTTTAACAGTGAAGGTAACTACTGAAACAAATTTACCAAGGGTTGTGGAGGATTTTCCATTGATAGAAATTTTAAATCAGTATTGAATGTTTTTCTGAAAGATACAGTCTAGTTCAGGGAAGTCCTATGGCCTGGGTTATACAGGACATCAGATTAGATCATTATAATGATTCATTTCAGTATACAGCTAGAAATCACTTAGCTCCTAGTGACTAAGTATCATACGTTGCTATTTGCCACTGCCAAATTCTAAGGAAACTGATTTTCCTACACTAGATAAAATATGTACTGTAAGTCTTGAAAATGAAGACGTATGCAGCAGGAACATTAGGATTACTTACCACATGAAGAATTTTATTTTCTGTTTCATATACCGTGCAATCCTATAGTAAAGAAAAAAAGAACAGTGTGAGATTTAAAATCTTAGCCCTCCACAGATGACACTATTTTTTTTTTTAAAAAAAGGAAAAAAACAATACTTTACATCGTTAGAATATGTCTCTTTCATTCACACACATGTATATAGTGAAGCCATTTCTCCAGGTTTTATGTGAATGTCTAAAGGTTATTCTATATAGACAATTCTCAGGGGTGCCCCGCTTGCAAAGCAGTCCTGGCTTGGATTGCTCGAAGTACCCACACTGGGCACATCACAGCACTCAGCCATCAGCCCGGCTGCACTTGCCACAGGCTGCCATCTAGGGAGAGGAGGCAATTGGGGGGCTGCAGGACAGCTTCCACCCCCAGAAGCCCGCAGAGCCAGCCCAGTCCTCCCCATCGGGGGCGCGTACCCCATTCCTCCCTCACCTCCTTCCACTTACCCTTCCCTAGCCCCTTTTCTTGATGTACAAAATAAAGGAGATAACGTTTCTTCCAACATTGACTCTGTCTTTATTGAACAAAACTGGGGGAGACTGGGAAAAGGAGGTGGGAGAGGGGAAGAGAAAGGCTGGGAGAGGGGAGGGCAACTAACATGATCAGGGGTTGGGAACAGGCCCCAGATGAAGAGAGGCTACAGAGACTGGGACTGTTCAGCTTAGAAAAGAGGAGACGGAGAGGGGACAGGATAGAGGTCTCTAAAAGCAGGGGTTGGGTGGAGAGGGTGCATTCAGAAAAGTTCTTCATGAGTTCCCATAAAGAAGGACTAGAGGACACCAAAGGAAAGGAATGGGTAGCAGGCTTCAAACTAGTAAGAGAAAGTTGTTCTTGACAAAGCAAATAGTTAACCTGTGGAACTCCTTGCTGCAGGAGGCTGTGAAGGCTACAACTAGAACAGAGTTTAAAGGGAAGTGAGATCAAGTCATGGAGGTTGGGTCCATGGAGTAGTCTTAGCCAGGGGGTAGGAGTGGTGTCCCTGCCCAAAGTTTGTGGAAGGCTGGAGAGGGATGGCACGAGACAAATGGATTGGTCACTGTCTTCAGTCCATCCCCTCCGGGGTCCCTAGGGTTGGCCTCTGTCGGCAGACAGGCTACTGGGCTAGATGGACCTTTGGTCTGACCCAGGACGGCCATTGTAAGCTCAGGGCTCAGTGTCGGGGGTCTCAGTGGACCCCCTTGATTTTCATGCACACCTGCTCCTGGGTGGCCAGGCTGGCAGCTCTCCTGCCCTAGACGGCCACTTTCCTGTGCCTAGTGCGGAGATCGTGGACGAGGTCCACGATGTCCTCACTAGCCCAGGAAGGTGCCCTCCTCTTGCGGTCCAGGGCAGTAATTCAAATTACTCTACTGACAAACTATTTTTTTCCCAAAATGAGAAATTACAAGAAAGCCGACTTCTCAAAATGGATAAAGAATAGTTTCTTTGGAGACTATCTTTCATTGTCTGGCTATGAGTGGCCACCAGGGAAACCTGGGGAGGGCTAGCCTCCCACTAGTTCGAATTAAGGGGCTACACATCCCTTAATTCAAACTAGCTAGTTCGAACTAGGCTTAATCCTCATAAAATGAGGTTTTCCTAGTTCGAACTAAGCGCTCCGCTAGTTCGAATTAAATTCGAACTAGCGGAGCGCTAGTGTAGCGCCTATGAAAGTTAGTTCGAACTAACGTCCGTTAGTTCGAACTAACTTTGTAGTGTAGACATACCCTAGGAAACTTCACTTCAGTAATCATGTTAATCTTAGGGTTTGTCTACACTAGTTTGTTAGTGTAGGGTAATGAGGGCAACCGGAGTTGCAAATGAAGCCCGGGATTTAAATATTCCGGGCTTCATTTGCATTTTCTTGGGCGCCGCCATTTTTAAATGCCCCTTAGTCCGAACTAACTGCCCGCGGCTAGACGCGGCAGTTAAACGTTAATTTGAACTAACTCCTTAGGTCGAATTAGCTGTTATTCCTCATTCCACGAGGATAACAGTTAATTCAAACTAAGGAGTTAGTTCGAATTAACGTTTAACTGCCACGTTTAGCCGGGGGCAGTTAGTTCGGACTAAGGGGCATTTAAAAATGGCGGCGCCCGGGAACATGCAAATGAAGCCCGGGATATTTAAATCCCAGGCTTCATTTGCAACTCCGGTTGCCCTCATTACCCTACCTAGCTCGAATTAACGAGCTAGTATAGACATACCCTCAGGGATCTATTCTTTTTATATGAATATAGTTCTCATTTTTTATAATAGGGACAATGCACCTGTATTGGGGGAGAATAGACCATTAGTATAAATAGAGATATGTATATAGATATTCACTATTGTGTAAATGTTAGTAGTCATAGAGACCTAGACATGCATGGCCTACTCCTAAATTTCTCAATCTGGCAAAAAAGTTTTATATGATATTTTTTTGAGTGCAGACTATAGTGTTAGGTCCATAGGGAGTGATTACCCATTTTGTTTTTTATTACTGACATACTGGATAGCATCACTGAATGATGAGAAGACAAGGTGTATCAGGGATCAGACATATTTTAATGTCTTTTTTAAAAGTCTTGCTTTACCTTCACCAGATTACAGGTATCATAACTGACAACCAATGGTCTTCTGCTTTAAGCTCAAAAGCATTATATATCACAATGCAATATATCATGGCAAGTTGATATATTTTTGGACATTTGCATATGAAATAGCAGATATCACATTGCGAGTTATATTTACAGATTTCTGTGAAACAAAGCAGATGTTCATTATTTATATTAACATAGCACTTAGGAGCCCTGGCCTCATCACAGTCTAGGGCCATATTGTACGAGGCACTGTTTTAAATACCTCACCCCCCAAAAGAGATGACCCTGGCCCACAGGAACTTATAACCTAATTACACCAAAGGAACTCATACCATTGATACTATAGAAACTATATTTTAAAAAAACACATTACTTATAAGGTCAGTTTTTCAAAAAAAAAAAAAAATCCATACATTTTTTGCCCATGGTTTTGCGTAAACAAGGGTTGCTCAATATTTTTTCTTGGCAAGAACTATCCTTTAACAGAGAGATTGTCTCATGAATAGCTCTTCAGGATTTCAATTCAGGCTCAAACTAGCCCCACTTTCATCTATAAACAAATTGTGCACCCCCCACACCCATCTGAAACGCCTCCCACTCTCCACATCCACTTTATGGAGGACAGAGGGGCTGAAGCTCTTTCCTCCCCCTCTTCCCCCCCCACTCCCCCGATTCATATGGAGACATTGCTGGCTGTTTCCCTTCTTCAAAGAGTGAGGGGAAAGTGCACAATTTACTGCATTCCTCACTATGGCAGGGTAACACGGGGGCAGATGAGCCATGCACTTTGCTCTTTCTCCCTGATAGTGACAGGAAAAGGAAGAGCAAGCAGTCCTGATATGAATCTCAGGGGAGCGGGCTTTGGCCCCCCCCCACACACAAACACATACACATGTACACACATACACCTACCTAGAGCTTCTCTTCATCCGCAATCCTGACTCCTGCACTCCTAGCCCCACCGCCCTGAGCCCCTCCTTAAGTACCTCAGCAATGCCAGGTAAATAGGTAGATTAATTAGATTACTTTTAAGGACTCTTTTTAAGGGCCTCTAATTTTATATTTATGATTCAATCACTTGCTCCAGGAAAAGACAAACCTAATGGTTCTTCCAAATCTAGCCTTCAGTCCTCTCTGGGGTTTGGGCACACATTTAGATGACACACTTATTCTACTTAGAAAATGTTGCTCTTGCAAGCCAAAAAAGTAGCACAACCATACTATTTTATGATAGGTAACATCCATTTTATTCTTTTAAAAAAAGAACATCTTTAATGCAAGCAACAATACACATGCAATTACATGCACCTGGATTTGCGATGCTCTTCATTTAGTAGAGAGTTCTATTCCTCTGTCATTTCCTTGCCAGCAGAGACATTATGGTTTACAAAGTGAGCAGGATTTGCCTATAAAATACTGACAACAGGAACAAATTTTCATATTTCTCATTGACAGATTTATTTTCTAATAGAATCGATTAATTCTCCATCATCTTATTTTAAGGCTGACCCTAACAAACTACTTGGTATTGCCTCTTAAATATGAAGTGGATAGGTAAGATGGGGACTGTTGGCTTTTTTCAGTGCAAAGGCAGCATAACAGCAAGTGCCCACAAAGACATAGGTACATTTTTTGGATGGATGGAAGATGCTTTCAGAATCAAAATGTTCCTGGTCAATGTGCAATTATATAGGAAAGGCTTGTCTAACTTCAGTACCGGACAAATTAGTTGAAACAATAGTAAAGAATAAAATTGTGAAGCATGTAGAAGAACATAATTAGAAGAGTGATCTCTGGAACATCGATCTTCTCGTAAGTGTAGACATGCCCTCACTGTCCCAACATGATGCGGTTGCTGAGTTCTAATGACCCACCATTGTACTTGGAAGGAATATGCTTATCCCTTGTCAGGAATGGTGGGTACAAGGCAGGCAGAGATGCAGTCCCCATTACAGCAACATCATCCCAAGAAGCTCATCAAATTCATAAATCGTACAGACGGATCCCCCAGATCGCCATGTCTGTACACCCTGATTTTCACAGATTTATATCTGTTTTTATAATGGACCAGGCTGGGGCTCAGCTAGTCAAATAGTAACAAAAAAATTAAGATTAATACATATATTGCAAATGAATATGGAATATTTGTTCTGCTGTTAATTTTAATGATATTTCGAAAGCTGGACTAATTATTGTAAAGCCTAAATTTTATACACATTTTAGGATATTTGTCTCAAAGTCAAAACAGAAAGCATGTTATCTATTATGTGCTATTAATTATTCTTCTGCACACGGAGTTTGAGTTGCCCAATCAGGGAGCAGAAAAAATATTTGACTTATGTGACCAATCAGACACTGACCATAATGAACAGGAAAAAGGCAAATAGGATGCTAGGAATTATTAGGAAAGGGATAGAAAATAAGACCCAGAATATCTTACTGCCCCT